AGATGACTGAAGGACAGTGAAACTCCAGTTCCTCTTCTCTACTTCTCCAACAAGGAGAATGCTTTTCAAATTGGACAGATCGGAGAGATTTGGAAAAAATACATAAACTGATGTCTAAGAGAGCATAAAAATAAAGTTTGAAAGAGTTTTTTCAGAATATGAATATCTTTCCTCCTCTCTGCTAGAGGAATTTTATTTAAACTATTAAAAGAAGGTATAGATAGCCTAGGAAATTCAAGAAACAGGTAAATATTTTTCACTTCCTCTGTCCTTGTTTTGTGTTCTAAGTATATCCACACCGTGCAGCTTTTCCCAACTTCCCTTTACACCATCCTCTCTTGCTGCCTAGAGCCCCATTCTGTCTGAAATGTGACTGTTCCACTTTAGAGACTCACCTGTGGCAGATGATATCCCCTCCATGTGACACTAACAGTAACAATTTCTTCCATTCTCTACCTGGCATCATTGCAGATTTATAACAAGTGCATAAACTGCTCATTTCATATTTCTATTTGCCTGCTTCTTATAATATCTTCACTCTCAGTAATGCCAATCAATCAATTAATACTATTGTGAACTGTGTATTCATCACTGATGGACAGAGGGATATCAGGTAGATATAGATATTGATTTTCAAAAGTTTACTATTTAGATGGGGTGAGAAAAATTTCACAACATTAATTAATTAATATAATAGTATCATAAATGATGCTTGAAAATACAGAACTATAGTTCTGTAAAAAAAAGGTCTTGATTTGACAGATATCTCTAGGGCTTTGCATGATGCTTGTTAAATGTTAAATGCTAAATAATGTTGTCAACTAAATGAATAAATGAGTTAACGGAGGCATAAATATGCAAGTACTTTCAAAATTATATGTTAGCTTTAAATTATAGGACTATAGAAATTTACCAATCATTAGCATGTAGGTAAGTAGTATTCTGAGAAAAATAATTTAAGGACAGAGTCCATAGAGTGGGAATACTTGCTGAAAATAATTCCGAATGAAGCTTGGCACTTTTAAAGAGACAATAAAACTAGGCTGGTAACATATTCATCCACTGCACAAAAATATATTAAAATTTAAACCTATTAGTGTCAATTTGGTATTGGCACTTAATATAATAGACAAAGTTCCTGAGAGCTTGTAGTATTTACATTGCGTGCAAGAACTTAGGGAGACAAACCACAAACATGAGAAAAAAACATTCTGTCAAAGTTTCAGAGAAGTTATTAACACCCATATTTCTCAACATCTTTAAACAGTTTGAATGTAACAGAAAACTCCCACACATTTTATTATGAGGTCAACTTCAACTTCATGGTAAACTTAAGGTCCAGAAAAGTACATCACGCAAAAACAAAAATATAGACCAATACATCTAATAAAAAATCAACTTAAATATTCTCAATAAAATACTAGAAAACTAAATTCAACTGTACAATAAATGAATCATATACTTTTGGGATTTACTACAGGGAAGCATAGATGGTCAAACATACGCGGGTCAATAAACATGATATACTGCATCAATAAAAAGAAGATAATCATACACTCAACTCAATGGCGCAGAAAAAGTATTTGAAAAGATTCAGCATCATTTTATGACAGAAAAACTCAGTAATAGGTATAGCAGTAAACACTATAAATATCATATGAAATAAACCTAAGCTTAAATGCATTATTTAAGTAGAAATGTTTCATTTTTTCCTTAAAAATAAACCTCTTTGAAGTGACGTTACTATCAAGGAAAGATCTAACAAGAGAAAATGAATGTCCCACAGATCCTGAAATTAGAAGCAGATACCCATGAAATGGTCTGTGTTTTGTGATGTAAGGGTGAGAGTAAAAGTGGCCTAAATGGCTTGCCAATGCTTCTGTTCTAAAGTGTACTGGATAGCAAATGTTTGCTTAAGATAAAGACAGTCATTTCACAAGTATATCCCCTTTGTAGAACTTTATTTTCAGTAGACTCACTATATCCATTGCTTTCCTGAAGAGGTTGTTAACACTTAGTTTTCTGGGTCCTTATTCCTAAAAATTATAATTCAGCATGCAGGGATCTGGGCCAGGGATATGCCATGTTGCTGTTTATGTCATGCCAACCTGTGCTCAAGGCTTATTCCGGGCTCTACACTCAGGCATCACTCCTAGTAAGGCCGGGTGATGGATGCAGTGCTGGGAATCAAAGCAAGAGGCCACACAATCGAGATAAGTACCCCCTCCATTGAACTATCCCTCCAGTTCCCAGGGATATGCGTTTTTAACTTTTTTTTATTGAATCATTGATAGACTATTATCACTTATCACTTAACTTCCCGTTAGTCGTCGATTTGCTCGAGCGGGTGCCAGTAACGTCTCCATTTGTCCCTGTTGCGTGCAAGTGTAGCCCAATGGCATCTTTTCGCTCCGGGAACATGAAGGGCCTCAAACCGATCGTTCATGATCTTGACGAAGAAGTCTGACCATCTGGTAGGTGGGCGGCCACGCGGTCTTTTGACATCCCGTGGAATCCAGTCGGTAACAGATCTAGTCCAGCGGTCGTCTTTAAATCTCATTACATGACCAGCCCATCTGATTTTGGACACCTTGGCAAATGAGACAGCGTCCCTGATTCTTGATCGTCGACGGATGTCAGAACTCCGGATTCTTTCTCTCATTTGAGTGAAACGTGATATTACAAGCATAGCTCTTTCTATTCTTCTTTGGGAGACCTGAATAGTGTTCTCATCTTGTTTGCGTGATAGACTATTGCGTAGATAGACTATTACTAAGCTGTTAATGATTAGGATTCAGTCATACTGTATTACAACATCCATTCCCTCCAACAGTGTACATTTCCCAGCTCCAGTGTCCCCAGGTTCCATCCCATCACCCCCCCCCCACCCCCTGCTAGCCTCTTTGGCAGGCACTTTTCTTCTCTCTCTCTATCTCTCTATCTCTGTTGCTCTCTGTCTCTCTGTCTCTTTCTCTGTCTGTCTCTCTGTCTCTCTGTCTGTCCATCTCTCTGTCTCTCTTCCTTTCTCTCTGTCTCTCCTCTCTCTTTCTCTCTCTCTCTCTCTCTCTCTCTCTCTCTCTTTCTCTCTGTCTCTCTCCTTTTGGGCATTGTGGTTTGAAATATTGATACTGAAAGATAATTTTCCAGGGATATGCCTTTTTATAAGTAAATCTTATCCCAGGTTGAAAACAAAATAGTACAGTTTGCTTCACATGTAGCCTATTCAGGTCCAATCCAGAGAGCCCCAGGTGGTTCCCAGACCATGCTACTAATAATCCCTGAGTGCAGAGCCAGAGTAAACCCTGAGCACTGCTGGAGGTACCCCCCCCAAAAAAAAGAAGACCCAAGTGCCCAGTTGATCTCACTATATAAAAAATATAAAGTCTAATATACCCAGTATGATTATTTTTCTCAAGTTCTAAAATCTACTGAATTAACTTATAAAATTTATATCAAAATTATAGAGATCAAATGTGTCTATTCATAAATCAATGCATTTTGTAGGGACTGGGGCTCCCAAGAGAGGCTCTGAGGTTCAGGAAGACATTCCATTCCCAGGGTACTTGTTTAACTGGGGTGGGTGGTAGAATGCTGAAACCGAGTGCTTCTGTTTGATTCTTGAGTGTTGGGGATCACCAGAACACCCTCTTGGTGCTCAGTCTACCAAGACTACACCAGGTGACACCTAACGCCACACTAGGCAGCTTTTCTGAACGTCCAGTGAAATGCCTAGTTACCCAAGACATCATACTGTGTCAAAAATAATGAAAGGCATGTGTTCCAGTTTTTGAGCAATTTCCAGTCCCTGTTTTTTTAACATATAAGCAGAAATTAGAGTTAAGTAAGACAGATCAACCTCCTATTACGCTAAACGTTATATATTTAAAAACAAAACCTGCAGGGGAAAATTATAGGATGTGAAAGTTTTCTGCATGAGCTTTAACTGAGAGTGATCTGTATTTACATTACCTGATATGCAAGTTAAAGTTTTACTTTTACATTCAGTAGAAACTCATGGAGGAATAGCTAGTTTAATTCTGGAAGAAGCATCCCATGAAATATCTCAAATTAAAAGACTCCTTTTCCTCATATTATAGAGTAATAAGCAACGGTGTGTGTGTTTGGGGTGGGGGGAAGGGGGTACCATTTCATAATTCAAGGGATGGGAAAACTTTATAAAACCTTAATACCATCCTTTTTTAAAAAAATCATCTTCAGTTAGTCTTTTTTTGAAAGGACAAAGAGTGGTTCACACTTGAAATGTTCTAAATCTTGAAGTTGTTTTGTTTTCCTAAATTTTTAAATTTATATACCTGATAACCTTTCAGAATCTGTATTGCAAGCCATAATGCCCAAAAGGAAAGAGACAGAGAGAGAGAGAGAGAGAGAGAGACAGAGAGAGAGAGAGAGAAGAAAAGTGTTTACCACAGGGTTGGGGGGGACTGGGGACATTGGTGGTAGAAACTGTACAGTGGTGAAGGGCCAGATGTTGAAGCATTGTATGACTAAAACCCAATCATTAAAAACTTTGTTACTGTGTATCTCACTGTAATTCAATTTAAAAAAAAATAAATTAAAAAATTAGAAATTCTTGGGGGCTGGAGCAATAGCACAGCGGGTAGGGCGTTTGCCTTGCACGCAGCCAACATGGCCAACACAGGTTCAATTCCCAGCATCCCATATGGTCCCCTGAGCACTGCCAGGAGCAATTCCTGAGTGCATGAGCCAGGAGTAACCCCTGAGCATCGCCGGGTGTGACCCAAAAAGCAAAAAAAAAAAAAAAATTAGAAATTCTTTTGTTAATCATCTTATATCACCCCCTAAAAAGATTTTTCTCTTATCTGCTTTGAATGTCATATATTTAACTATACAGAGCTATTCATAAATAAAAATAACTTTGAAGCAACTGAGATTGCCATTCTTAATATAGATAAATGAGTATAGTACAAAAAGCACCATTTACAAACAACAAATAGTTGACAGTTAGTGTGTGTACTTACTATAGGAGCACCCGTAGACTTCAACCCTCATGCCAATCTTTCCATTTGGATTCCATTCCAGGGGTACAAAGCGAACAAAGCGGGCTCTCACAGAGTGTGCTAGTTTGTGGTGCATCACGCTATCTGCATTCATGTTCCCAGCAAAGGTCTGCAGGGAGAAGATGAGGTCTATTAAGGTTTCTCATCCTATAGCAGTTAGTTTCTTCATGTACCAGAGCTCAAGGAACACTAATGAAAATCTGTTACTTTACAGTCTTTCATAGAAAATCCTCAAGTTCTTGTTCCTTCCACTAAATTTTAATAAGAGAGAAATTCTACATTGGATTTTTATATAAGAATTATTGTCCATTATTCTGCAAGAATCCCCGTCCCATTTTATAAATATGTCAACTCTAGTAAATTATAAGACCTGTCACCTAAAAGGCTTATAATGCAAATAATATAACAAAATTCCTAATATTCATAATCTGTGGTTTAGGAGATAACTGAAAATGTCCTCTTAGATGGAGTGACTTTTACTAAAGTAATCGTTGCCATTAATTGAGGTCAGTCACTATGCTAAGCACTTTCCATCATCATTACCACTGTTTTACAGATAAAAAATTGAAGTTTAGAAGAAGAAAGTGGAAAGAAAAAGTTCTTAAATCACCTAATCTGTTAGTAATTGGTCTGAGATTCAATGTCAGGTTTTTCTATTTCCACAGTCTCATACTCTTCAACTGTTCTATTGTTAATTGTTACAGAAGGGAGAATAGGAAGCTCCAGCCTTTATATAAATCAGCTTTATATTTCCTAGTGAAGCTTGGGCAAAGAGCACACAGGATGGGAGTGATTTGACAAACTAAAATTATGCCTCACTTATAATGCACTTACAATTCACTTTAACATTTCTAGTGAAACTTGGGCAAAGGAACACATAGAAAAGGAGCTATTTGACACTAAAATTATGCTTCATAGTCATTATTTGGATGAGTGATTTCAGAAGCAGAAAATTTTCTGCAGATGGAGCCCAAATTTTCAGACTTAATCCCCTGGATTTTGATAAAATATATAGGACATAAAATCTATAATTTTAGTCAATTCATAGTACAAAGCTCAGTGGTAATAAATATATTCATATTGCTATACTGCCACTATCACTATTCTTTCTCAGAACTTTCCATAACTACAATTATACCTAATTTTAAAGCTAGAATGTCAGCATAGTGACTTCCTGGTTTCTTAATGAATCATCATCTGTCATAGTTTCTAGCTGAAGTTTTCATAGGGAACGCCTGTTGATTAAATTCTATCAATACCATCCAATAAAAAAAAGAAAACCCATTGATTTAAATGGCCAGTCAGCTTCAAGTAAAATACTGTATCAACTGAATGAGATTTATTTTCGAAGACCCATATGTCAACCTTGAATTATCATTACAATATCTGTGAGTCTAAGGTGACTTGAACAATCTCACATTTACGCTGCACAAAATATATTCACCTCCTCCCTTTGACATTAGATGCCTGATTTAACACTCAGATATTTCATAAAGTATCTTATGAGAAACCACTTCCTACTTTGCAGCTATACCTGAAGCATAATTCACAAATTAGAGAATGACTTAATGGAAAGTAATTCTTCATAATTCAAATGTAACACTTTATTTCACAGATTTGTCAACAGTTTGAACATTTTCCATTCATTCAAAAAATAGAACTTTTCTTGACAGACTTATTTTACAGAGTTTCTATTTTTAATGCGAGAGACTGACACAAACATAAAACTGTTTTAGTCCCTTGCTTATAGAAAGGACTATTCCATGATTTTTTAAAAACTGTACATTTAAAATTTTAAATGTAAACATTAAAATATCACTGTACTCGGGGCTGGAGTGATAACACAGCAGGTAGGGCATTTGCCTTGCACGTGATCCGACCCGGGTTCAATTCCCAGCATCCCATATGGTCCCCAGAGCAAGGCCAGAAGTAATTCCTGAGTGCATGAACCAGGAGTAACCCCTGTGCATCGCTGGGTGTGACCCAAAAAGCAAAAATAAAATTAAATAAATAAATTAATAAAATATCACTGTACATTTAAAACAAGGAAAATTTATATTTTTTGATTAGTGTGCAGAGATGAATATGGAAAGGAGGATTCTGGCATTCTAATTGCTTTGGGAGAAAATAAGGCAATCCCTGTTTGTTTGATGGCTTGTTTGTTTTCCTATAACATAACTGGAGAGCTCTCAACTATGTACTCTGGATTTTTCTTACATGGAATTCTGTAGATTTAAAGTTCTAACACTACATGTAAAGTGACATATAAATTTTAGACAACTGTAATAATTTAGGAATATCTAAAAATAACCCAAAGAGACAGAGCCACTAATTCCATTAAAAAGAAATAATGTGGAGAGGATAATATAAAAATAATGGCAGCAATAACAGAAAACAGCAACAGAAATCTTGAGTTAACACAGAGTAAGACAGTAAATGAGAAATGGAAGAATAATGGCAAAGGAGAATAACAATTGAAAACATACCAGATAGTAGATGTACATATAAATAATTGTTAATTGTGAAAAAAGGAATTTGAACATAAATTCCAATTAAATATCAAATATTGTTAATCGGTCACGGTCACGGTTGTCCCGTTGTTCATCGATTTGCTCAAGCGGGCCCAGTAACGTCTCCATCATGAGACTTGTTGTTACTGTGTTTGGCATATCGAGTACGTCACGGGTAGCTTGCCAGGCTCTGACATGTGGGCGAGATACTCTCGGTAGCTTGCCCCGCTCTCCGAGAGGGGCAGAGGAATCGAACTCAATCAAAAATTGTTAGGATAGATAAATAAAACAAGATCCATCATTGTACTTTTATACTATAGACTGCTAAAAAATTTTAATACATTGACAGGTTAAAAGGAAAAAGTATATAAAATAAATTACATAAAATTAATTAGAATAATAAATAGAAGGGTTCTAAAATGAGTATCACAAAATTCAGATGAATTAAAATATAATAGCAAGAAACAAAAAATATAAAGAATAAAAGGATAAATACATTAAAAACTAAATGTATGTGCACCTACAATTAAGTTTCAAAACAAAAGTAGCAAGGTTTTGACAGAAACAAATATAGAAAAAGGAACAAATCCTTACTTATAATTGACTTTTAATATCTCCACTTAGTAAGTGATTGAATAAATGGGAAAATGACAGTTAACAGAGGATTTAAACAGTACCACAGTACCACAAATAAAATTGGCCTAATTAATGTCCATTGATCATTCCAATGGACACATGCAGATTATACATCGTTTCCTTGTATACATAAAATATTCACCTAGATCATAAACTATGTGATAGAGTAAGTTTCACTAAAAATATAATTTGTTTTCTGCCACAATTAAATTAGGAATGAACAATAATTATTTATTAAGAAAGCCCTGGCATATATACAAGGTAATCAATAAATTTATTAATAGATTAAAGAAAAAATAGATTAAAGAAAGAAATTATAATTAGAAATTATTATAATTATAATAAGATATTATAATTCCTTTCTTTAATATATTAGTAAATTTATTGATCTGCTCCAATGGAGACGTTACTGGGCCCACTCGAGCAAATCGATGATCAACGGGAGGACCTTTACCTTTACCTTTACCTTTTATTGATCTGCTAGAAGTAATTATTAAAATTATAGAACATAGGCAAAAAAGTTCTTAGACAATTTGATTTATATACCTTTCTTTTACTTAAGAGGAAAGACACAGTATCTTATCAAATTAATCCTATGCACACTGAATAAACTGTGCATACTTAATAAGCTTATTAAAGCAAAATTTTAGAAGGGGTAGGATCAAGTTCTCATTATAGAAGTCAAATCAGAATTGTTATTGATTATGGATGACATAAAATGACTACAAATGTCGTTCATCTATTTGCTCATAATATCTTTGTGAGGAAGTCTATATTAAGTTTAAGATATGGAAAATTTAATTTTGACATGTCTAAATTAGGTCAAAATTTATCAAGCAAGAAAGCAGCAAATTGGGACTCAATTAAGAGATGCTGATTAAAGTGCCAGGATCCTTTTATTTCACTACCATATGTCAAGCAAGTGTCTGCAACCAAGGTATTCCTGTGGTACAATAGCAGCTGCTGTATTTGATGGTATCCACACACATGATTGCAATTGCTAGGCACTCTGCATGCTTTACTTCACTTTATGTTATTATCTATAGAATCTTTTCATTAACTTTTTCATTAAAGCCGTAAACATCACCTGTACACATACATTTAACTTTAAATATTAACAGATTATAGTCTTCTCTTCAGAAATTTGCTTTTACCTCCCTCACCTCAAGCAGCATTCCTTATACCCAGCATTGCACTATAATATGCACTGTATTACATTGCACTGGCAAACTCCCTGTGGCGTACCCAATATGCCAAATACCAGTAACAATGATGGGTCTCATTCTCCTAAAGAGCCTTGAATATAATCTCAGGGCTAGGATGAAGGAGACGTTACTGGGGCCTGCTCGAGGCAATCTACGATTAACAGGATGATTTGTGATTTGTGATTTGTGATACATTGCACTATAATATGACCAGGTATTACACTACTGTAATGAGATGTAGCTATTACTGGTGTTGCTTTAAATAGTTTTTGCATATGGTTCTTGGCAAAGCTATTCATTGATCATACCCTTATGCATGAATATGATGAAAAAAAGTGATCCCCATTTCTTCTCTTATCGTTAAACAAGCTTGAACATAAGAGAAATTAGAAATTAATTTACTATGTGGTTAAAAAATGAAGCAAAACATAGAAGGGTCTCAAAGCAATAACACTCATCACTAAACACATAGGAAAACACAAGGGAAGAAAAAAGAATTGTTAGAATCAGTGTGTACCTCCTTTTCCTTTGACACATGTTTCTTGATATCCAATGATACTTTGTTTTATGAGCAAAAAAAAAAAAAAAAAAGAAAGTGGCCAAAATCAAGGTGCATATGCTCTCCCTCCACTTAAAAAGCCAGAAAAACTGTCAGATTTCAAAAGAGATCATCACTGACACTAACAAATGGGGAATGGGCAGGTCTGAGTTAGTTGTCATCAAGGACAACCATTTAGATTCAACAAATGCACTGTTTG